ACGCCGTGTGCGTGGGCAGCGCCCGCGGCCGCCTCGAGTTCCTGGAGAGTGAGTGTCGCCGGGGGCGCGGGGGACCCTCCCGCCCTGCCTCGCCGCCTGTTGCCGCGCGGGGCTCCCCTCTCCGCTGCCGGCTGGTGGTGACGGCTGTTCCCACGGGCTTGGTTTGTCCCTGTGTCTCTGGGGTGTTCTCACGCGGGAACAGCCGTCTCGGGTGACCCGTTTGTGGCATCTCCATGGGCCCTGTCCTGGAGGGTGCAGAGCTCCCCCTCGCATCCTGCGGAGGAGAGGTCGGCCAGAAGCGTCCTGGGCCCTGCCTTTTATCTCCTCCGAAGCACCTTTCGTTATGGAGAACGTGAGAGCCCTGCGAGTTGTGGCTGGGGTGCTCCAGAGCACAGCCCCCTTCCCACCTCATCCCAGAGCTAAACCTGTCCCTCGGAGGCAGTGGCAAGATGTGCCTGTGAGGAGCAAGGTCCTGCGAGCACCTTCTCCCGCAGTCCGTCTGTCTGTCTGCTTCTTTCTCCTCTCCCTTCTTTTCTGGCTCTAGGGCAATAAACAACATTAAAGAAACCAAGCCCAGAAACCTCTCAGATTAAGAGCCAAAAGTGCAAAGATTAAGGGACAAAGGAAAAAAAAAAGTTTCTGAGCGCACACATTTGTGTGGGACTCGTGTGGGAAAGATAAAGCGATTTCCAGTATCGCACCGCATAACCCGAGCACAGGGCACGCGTCCTTGGCTGGCTCTAGGGCAATAAACAACATTAAAGAAACCAAGCCCAGAAACCTCTCAGATTAAGAGCCAAAAGTGCAAAGATTAAGGGACAAAGGAAAAAAAAAAGTTTCTGAGCGCACACATTTGTGTGGGACTCGTGTGGGAAAGATAAAGCGATTTCCAGTATCGCACCGCATAACCCGAGCACAGGGCACGCGTCCTTGGCTGGACACCCTGCTGTTGTCTCTTGCAGTCGGGGGCGGCGAGTCCCTGCGTTCCTACTGGAGCGTCTACCTGCCCAAAGTGCCCCTGCTCGTCTACGTGGTGGACGCGGCCGATCACGCCCGGCTGCCGCTGGCAAAGCAGCTGCTTCATCAGCTGCTCCAGGAGGACTCCTCGCTGCCCGTCGTGGTGCTCGCCAACAAGCAGGTACAAGCTCCCCGCTGGGGCTGGCAGCAGCTCCAAGAGCACCAGGGAAGCCTTCCAAGGGAGGCTGGGAGCTGAGGGGCTTCCCAGGGCACCTGCTGGCCGCAGGAGATAACTGCCCAGGGCCAAGTTTTGCCACGCTTCCATGCAGGTGCTGGGCTTGCAGACAGCGCGGCCAAGGTCCGGCGGTTGTGAGCAAGAGCACCGCTAGACCTGGAGGTGGGGTTATGTCCCCGGTGCCCGAGTGTCGCTTTAGCTTTAGCCTCGTGGTGGGGCGCCGTCGTCCTGGAGCTGCGACTGAGGCACCAGAGAAGAGAAACTGCAGATTTCCTTGCACCGTGAGGTGGCCTTTTCTCCTCTGCTGGGTCCTGGCACCCAGAAAGCTGGTGGCTGCGAAGATACCTGGGGAGGAACTCCTAAATTTGCCCCGTTCTTCTGGCTTTTTATTGGGCTTCTGCTGTCAGAAGCAGGGTCTTGGGCCAGCAAGGCCATTATCTGCGATGTACAATTAGTCTTATGCTGTTGTTGAAAGCACTGCAATGACCGTGCACTTATTTTCTTGGGAAGAAAACAGAGTAGAGGATGGGAACCTGATCTCGTGAAAGGCACGAGCTGGTGCTCCCCGAGCCCTGGGCAGCAGGAGCTGTGCCGCTCTCCTTGCTGCTGACAGGCTCTTCTGTTCTCGTCTCTCAGGACCTCGAAGGCGCATACAGCATCACGGACATCCACGCCGCTCTGGCGCTGTCCGACATTGGGGACGAGAGGAAGATGTTCCTCATCGGTACCCATGTGGCAGAGGACGGCTCCGAGATTTCCTCCAGCCTGAGGGACGCGAAGGAGCTGATAACACAGCTGGTTTTGGAAATGCAGTGATAGCTCTTTTCCCATAGCACAACCTTCGCAACTGTGGGACATGCGGAGTTGGTGCATGGTCAGTTTGCCACGTGGCAGCTGAAACGTGCAGATATTTATATATTTTTTTTCCTTCTGTGTAGCTGTGGAGTTCCTGTGAAAATGATGTGTAACTTGAAAGTCTATTTTAAGTAGTGGTTTTCAAATACGTTTGAAAAACAGTATATTTTTTTAGAATATTTGTAGAGGGGAAATGAGACTCTTAGACTTTTAGAGATCAAGGAGATAAGTAGGGGCTAAAGGGCTTCTTGCCAGGTGGTAATCGAGGGTTGACTTTAGTGAAACCAACTTTTCTCTGAGGAGTTTAACTCGGCGCGGTGTCATAGCCTAAGACTGAGATATCCTTACTTTTTATTTTAGAGAAGGTTTTGCTGAACCCTGTTAACAATGTTGTTCTGTTACAGATGAGACCCTGTAGAAATGTAAAGTGCTGGGACTGGTACTCCTGGGATGGAGGGTGGATGGTGGGTGCGGCAGCAGGGGATCCTGCCTTGGAGGCTCCTGCTCTTTAGCGGGTGAGAGCAAGGAAATGGAAGTAAAGAGATCTTAAGTGTTTCTTTGCCTAGGGGAAAACAAGGGAAAACAAACCCTGTAGTTTCAGGATGGAGAGCTGCAGGGGGGCTCTTCCCACCATGCTTCAACACGATGCTCCAACAAGGCACCTCTGCATGGAGACGGGGCCAGAAAGGGCTCACAGGCGTTTTGTTGCTGCACTTGTTGCGCGGGGGTTTTGTAGCTTTGTCCTTAGGGACAGGTGAATAAAGCAGAAACTTTATGCTAAGCACTGGCCTGAGCTTCGTTTGCCTGCGCAAGGAGGGGAGTTTCTGCCCTCGGGCAGAGGGCATCGCAGCTGCACGGAGCAGCTTCTCCAGCCCGCGAAGCTCCAGCGCTCCCCGACACGCGTGGTCAGGGGAGCCTTTGAATCCTGGCCCCTCGGCCCGTCCCGGCCGGTGCCTGCCGCCCATGTCTGTGTGACGGACTGGAAGCGCCGTTTCCGCGGTGCCTCGCGGTAAACACGGGCGCTGACAATGGGTGTTCCTGGTGGCCGCACGCTGCTGTGTGCGCTGGGGCGCTGCCTGCCGCGGGCTGCGCGTGGCACGGGGAGAACCCGGCGTGCGTCTGCCCCCCTCTCCCCGCCATGTCCCGAAGGGACCCTGCGGCCAGGGCAGACCTACAGGTTCGCGTCATGGCATCCCAGAAGATAACGCGGATGTCGCCGAGACGGTGAGTTCACCGGGAGGTTGGGTGCACGGGCAGTTTTGGAGAGGGCTCCCTTAGCAACATGCTGTGAAGGATGGAGGTGGTGGCTCCAAGCGGCTTCGAGGGCTCTGCGTGCAGCCCCGGTTGCTTTGCACCTTGTTGGTTTAACTGCAGGTTTAAGGGCGCCTTTGTCCCTTTGTTTTTTTGCAGTTTCCAGAGGCTCCGAGAACTCGCAGAACCCAAGAAAGTCTTTTGTGCCAATGATCCCGGGTGAGGAGGCAGGGGACAGCCTGGCCGCGGTGCTGCTGCGGCTCCGCTCTCAGGAGCAGGAGTGACTTCAAGAGTCCCAAGCGGAGATAGCCGAGGCGTGAGGGTCTCTCTGTGGCACACCCTGACCGTAGCCTTGCTGTGGTATTTGCTGCCACACCTGTGGTGCTGCAGTTAGATGGTACTGGTGAGGTGCATACGACGCGGTCAGGAACCATCCCCACCAGCGTCTCGAAGTGTAAGGAGGTGACCCTGTCCGCTCGTGCCCTGGGAGCTGTAAAACCAGAGGCATCCTCTGAAGCTCCCCCTCTTTCAAAGCTGGCAGCAACTGTCCATGCGACGGTAGGAAATCCAGGGCTGAGGAGGCGGCTGGCCCCGGCAAACGTGTTTCATGTTCGTGCGCGTTCTAAAAGGCAAGTTCCCCCCTCTGCTCTCGCCAGGCTCAGGTGGGGAAACCAGGAGCCCATCTGGAGTCTCTCGCCTGCTGCGCTTGCTGCCCGGCCATCCCCAAGGACGGTGGCCCTGGCCCAGCCCAAGCGGGATTTCGATGGCAGACCCCAGCGCAGGTCAGTGCTGCGGCACCGGCGTCGGGAAAGAGATGGCTCCGCAGGGATGTGGCAGGAGGGGGGAAGCCAGGGGGGGGGCGGGCTGCCTGTCC